CTCTCTCTCTCTCTCTACTCTCTCTCTCTCTCTCTCTCTCTCTCTCTCTCTCTCTCTCTCTCTCTTCCTTCTTTTCGATTCTTTCGAAGCGATAAATCGTGCAAAACCAAGCAAGAAATAATCCCTCGCAACGGATATATCCGCTTAATAACGAGAGGTTAGGATACAGTCGGATATTAAAGTCGAGTTCACTTTATCGAAATGGCCGGTTTACAAACTGCACTATCGGTATAACTCATAGCAGCCCTAAAACCGCGCCGTAGTAATAAAGGCCGGCCCTCGTCTTAATCATTGATATTAATCCCTTGCCTGATCCAACCTAAAACTCGGCAAATATTATGGAAACTTGCGTCATCGATAAATAAATTATTCATTATATTGACGTGTATACGTACATTATAATGTATATACATATTGAATAATTTTAATATTTCTAGTTCCAAATTAATGGAACAGGGCCAATTTTGAAGGTTAAATTTTAGATTTTAGAAAAATTCATTCTTTCTTGGATAAAATATTACTAATTTTCATATTATTTATAATAATGTTACTAATTACAATACTGGCCACAAGATATAAATTAAATCATCAGTCTGAAACTTTTTTTGTACAGGAAATTAAAAATTAATAAAAATAGACTAATATTTTTCAATTCTTGAATATAATATATATTTATATTCTTGTTATAGTATATATAAAAGTACATAGGATTTTATCTCTTTTAAAAATAATTATGTAAAATTTTATTTTATATAAAAAATTATTTTATTAATTAATTATTTTGAATGTTAATATATAAATGAAACCTAATTTTCTCACTATAGATACTATCAGTCTTTTTACCAACTAAAGTATTAATAAACTTAATTTTAAAAATTTTCACTTATAGAATTTAATAATCCAATATTTTTTAAATATTAATTCTTAAATATCAAAATCATCTTACAGCTTATTCTTTATTCAATAATTTTATCAAGTCAATAATATTTAAAATCACGATTCTTAATATTTTCTTAAATAAACGAAAAACACAAGTATATGCTTGAACGTTAAATGTTAATTAAAGATATAGTCGTATGAACGTTTCTTTCGAATACTATAAATTCTACAAAACTACTATTAATTTGGTTAAAAAATTGTATTGTTTAAATGAATCATAAGTCCACCATAACCATCAACATCATATTGCAAAGTTGCAGGCGCAATTTCACGCATAGTTAATATGGAATGAAGGGAGAAGAGAAAAAAAGACAAAAGAAGAGAAAAAAGAGAGAAAAAGAAAGAAGAAAAAAAGGGATGAAACGACACGAGATGTGAAAATTTAATTAGTAGGCTGCAATTACGAACATCACACTCATTTATATCATGAGTTTCGCATTGCACCATAAACGAAGTCTCGTAGTTGCACGCTTACATTAAAAGCTTGGAATTGCAAACACATTGCCATTTTGCATTCATTATTATTTGTGAATGAAATGAATCACAAAATAATATATCTAAACATCTAAACAGTCGATCGAAATATTTACAATATAAATTATTTACATATATATTTTCACATAACAAAAATATATTTTCAAATATATATAATTTTATTCAATTACATAATAAATAGTGACTATAGATTATCATATTTTTTATTATTATTCAAACTTTTTAAATTTTATTCTTTTTATCACTTTTATATCTCATCTTTTATATCTTCTTATCACTATATATTAATTTCTTGTTGTACTTACTATTTTATTCTATTTTATTGAAAAATAGCTTATTTATTATAATGATTATTTTTTAATTTTCAAATCAAATTGAAAAATAGTTAATGGATTATAATTTTTATTATAATATAAAAAAATCTAAAAAGATATATATAAGAATATATATATATAAAAGAAATCTATTTATAAGGAATTGTATTTTTTTAATTTTTATTCTTTTTCTAGAAATCGAAAATATTAAACCAAGAATAAAATTAAATTTGAAAATTGAAATATCAATTTGAATATTATATATATAATATTATTAAATATAAATAATAATATAAATTCATAATACTTCACAATCTTTCTAGACCACAATACATAAATTATTAATTTAAAAGATAATCAAATAATTTAATTTCAAATTAAATATTGTACTCTAGTAGAATTATTATTTCAAATAAGATATGAATATCTTAATAAGATTAATGAAATAACTGAAATTTATGATTCTAGAGTATATCATTTTTCGATTACTTTCAATTAAACTATTAGCAAATTTTAAAATAAAAGATTTTCTAATGGAATATCCGAAGAATGCTTGAAATTTATTCTGTAATATATTTCACTAAAAATAAAATAGAAAATTAAATAATAGTTTGTTTTTTCATTGCGATGGCAGCACTATCTTGAAAACTATTGCTGATAGAAGAAATCTTCTGTATCAACAACAGAAAATTGCTAATTGACCCAAACAAAAAAAATAAATATCTTACAGAACTTTATATCACATATTCTCAAATATCAAAAAAGATTAAAGTATTTTTTATCTAACATATTATAATCTAACATAATATAAAATAAAAATCTATGTTTATATTTCATAAGTTTATAAGTATATAAGTTCATACTTCATAAATTCAAATTTTAAAAACTAAAATGAAAATTATCTATCCCTTTAATAAAATTTTTATCTACAAAAAATATAATCACGTTCGTAATTAGCTCATATTATTTTTTATAAAATCACATATTTAACGTAATACAATATCTAACGTAATGATTTTCGATAATCGAATGACATACTAACAATTTCGATTTATTAAAATTGAGAAGAAAGATATTCAACATTTTTATAAGTTAGAATGTATTAGATATGACACGTATCAATTTCGGAAAAGCTAAATTATAAAAAATGTTTTCAATGTTAATTTTGCATTGAACATAAAATTAAAATATATTACACAAATTACACAAATGTTCAATGTAAAAATAGACGTATTTAGGAAAGAAATATATGAAAATATATATAAAATATATACATATATATGAATTGATTATAATGATTTAGATATTTTCATCTCTACGTAAATAAAAAAAGTTAAAATAAAAATAAAAAATTAAAATAAATAAAATCTTACCATATTTGCATAAAAATTGTCAGATTATCTTTAATATATGCAAAAACTATTACACTTTCAAAGCTTATCTTTCAATTAAACTATCAAATCTATCAAAAAAACATTGAGGTCTGATTTAATAATTAAATAAACACATATTAATTAAATTAGGTTTAATAATAAATAATCTATAATTAACCAACCATAATATTTTGTTAATAAAAATTTTATGTAATTATACACTTTTGCAGATGAAGTGCAAAAATTTTCATAGACTGATAACATGACATTATAATGCGCATTGATTCGTCTTGTTTTTAAATTTTGACAGCTTTTTGATTAAAATAATATAGTTTTTTATTCATTTGAGCTACGCGATAATCGAAATATTTTATATATATATATATAAATTTTTAAATTAAAAAATTAAAAAATATTCTGAGATTAGTATTGCGAGAATATTACTCCTGAAACAGGAGTTGATCTCGAAAATATAATTGAATTGAATACTCATATTTATATAAATTATAGAAAGTATACCAAACATTTTTTAATTTTTTATACAATCAAGTTTCAGAATATAGAGAACAAAATCCCTATAATTATTGATATTATTGTACAATCAGATTTCAAAATATAGAGGACAAACTCCCTATTAGATATATTATTGTATATCTTATTTGTAATATCGATATTTAAGTTGTATTTATATATTATTACTTATACGAATCTGATTTTACATAATAAGAAATAAATTTATTAATAAATATAAGCATTTAAAGAAAATAAAATTAAAATCAAAAAAAAGACGTAAAAACATTTACACATTTTTTTATATTTCCTAAATATTTTAATTTAAATACGGGAAAATGATTTGAAATAATAAATAATTGTTCATAAATTTGGTAAAAAATGACTGACGAACGAAATTTTCGTTCATCTTATTATGAAAAGGTATATTTAAACTTATATTAAACATTTCTTATGATTTTAGGTTAGAAAAAAATAAAATATTACAAATAACTAAAAGTATATTATTCATCAATTAAATAATTAAAATATAGGTAGGATTTCGTAGCGTTGAAGAAAAAAGATCTTTGGAAATATTACTTAAAGAACGTCCTTTTGATAAAGCAAAACTGAAACAGTTCTGCTTACGATTTACAGTTCCTGCTATATATAGAAATTTTCTTTGGAAAGTATTACTGGATATAATACCAGTTTATGTAGAAAGTCATGAATTTATAATAAGTCAAAGAAAAGCAGAATTTCAGGATCTACAAAAAGCCTTAAAAATTGCAAAGATTTTAGATGATTATACAAAACCTCATTTAATGTTTCTCACTATGTGGTTATTACGTACTAGAAGAGCAAAACTTGATATGAATACTCAATTAGAATTTCCTTTACATAGGTCTTTAATTTTTTATTAAATATAATTATTAATCATAACTTATTAAAATATTATATTCATTAATTATTCTTGTTTTAGAGCAATGAATAGAATGGCTGAAACATTATGGCACATTGTTGATATAGATTCATATGAAGAAAAGCTTGTAGATACATATTGGATTTTATGTGGATTTTTAGATCAAGTACAAAAATTTCATAAAGAAATTAATAGATTACAAGAATGTACTTGTACTTTATTGGAAAGAGAAGATCCAGAATTATATAAGCATCTTGTTAAAATAGAAGCACTTTATAATATTCCATATGACATTTGGTTTTCTTCATGTTTTGCAGGAACAATATCCAATGGTTCTATTGCAAAGTATATATATATGTATATATATATATATATATATATTATGTATTAATTATGTAATTAATGTATTTAAAATAAAAAAATATATCATAAAATATATATTATTTATTTGTTACAGAATATGGGATAAAATAGCTGTAGGTGCATATAGAATTTTAATCTTTGTTACTGTAGTTACTTTAACAACTCTAAGAAGACTTCTAATGAGATGTGAAAATATTGATGGTATTTTAGATACAATTGCTAATGTATGAAAATATCTATATTAAAAATATCATATATATTTATTCATATAAGTATGAAATGCAAAAAATTAATTTTAAATAAATCTTTTTATTCTAGATAACAGAAGAAACTTCTGAAGTAATTGTTAACAAAGCAATTGAATCTTGGCAACAGAGTGGTTCAACATTAACAACTATTTCATAAAGTATTTGAGAAAATTCTTATAAGCAAAATTGTAATAAAATACGATCATATTATAAAGTAATTATAAAGTAATTGTATTGTATAAGTATTATAAAGTAATTGAATAAAGTATGAATATTAAATTTAATTATTTTCAAATAAATATAAATATTTGTGTATTTATAGAATATGCTTTTTTATATTTTAAAAATAATTATTTTTATTAATGCATTCATCATACATTGTACATATACAATTATTGAGGTGTTAAGTCTTAAACTGGACTTTATTTTATATTATTATTCTTTTGTTTCTTTTGCAATGTTATATTACAATAATTAATGTATTTCAGTGTGTAAGAGCAAATTTTAATAAATATCTTTCAAATCAAGCAGAAATATAAAATTATTGCATGTTGTATCTATATTCTCCAAGAAATCTAATGTAAATAATTTATTGTATATTCTCAAAATTTTTGTTGAATATTTTTTTTATTATCAGACTCAATATTTCTAATAATTCTTGTATATATTTATTGTACAATTATAATGGAATTTCATTCCACAATTAATCTTAACAGTGATATAAAAAGAAGATTACACTTCGATATGCATAGCATTTTCTCAATGCTAGAATTGATTCCAAACGGAATAGTACTAATTGAAAATTTTTTTTATACAAATTGAGTTTATTTTCATTTATTTGAGTTTTTACAAAAAAAATTTTATAGTGCAATTTATTTACATCTTTTCTGATTAAAAAATATTATTCTTGGAGAAAAGTGAGATCATACAAAATTTTATTTTTTGCTCACGCATTGCACCATAATTTCATTTCAAATTCCTACTATTTTCTAATGTTACAACTCTTAAATAGATTTTCTGTTACTAGTCATTCTTTTTTCAATGGGATTTGAGCATGCTCTTTTATTGTTAATTAATTCATAATAAATGATGGCAATTTTATATACATAACTGAAAAAAATTATAAATAACGAAACTATATTCGTTTCAAAATCTTATAATATGTTATAAAATCATAATGATGTGCAAATTTTAAATTAAAATCAAAATTCATTGATTTTAATTCAGACAGATTAAATTTCAAATTCAGAGAGTTATTTAGGCTATAGTAATGCATACAGTTTTGCAGATATTAATTTTTTTTATAAAATACAAGTAAAATGCACAAATATACTATGCTATTGTATTATGTTAACATCAATGACTCCAATTTATAACATGCATATTTTAACATTTGAGGAATACCATTAAGCACTCAATTAATAATGTTTGTAACATTATTGATCAAGATTTACCACTCAAATGGCAAAGTATAATTTTATGTAATGCATAGTTTTTTTTTTTCTTTTTGATTAAGGCCATTCATTCTGTTGATGTCTAATTATTAAAATAAATATTTTATGCAAAGAAAATAGTTAACATACTTTACAAACATCAGCTAACTTTTACTAGATATTATATGCAATTAGAAACTTATTTCCTATTTCAGCTATGTAAAGTTTCATTTACAACGTTTTTTTAACATTTTTTTTTCGCAACTATTGCACTTTTTTTTCCTCGTTAAATCAAAGATATATTTAAAACAAAGGAATGCATAAAAAATAAAACAAAAAACGCAAATAAATATGTTGTTTGCCAACTTACAAAAGTGTTATAGAAAATATCTTAAACTGAAGATTCATGATACTTGTGATCAAAGTAACAAGTGCTCTTTCCTAAATTAAAAAAAGTTGTTGCCTTTTATATGATCTTAATAAGCGATGAATAATATACATGATAAAAAATGACTTTTGCATAAAAAGTTACAATTTTTTGTTATAAGTCTAATAAAAATACTGATTATAACTTTCATTCGTTTTATCGCTTTATGCATCGACAAGCTACACAAACTAGGAGTCACTGATAAATGATATCCAATGTTTGACTTGGTACAAGTTAATATTATAATTTCTTTTTTCTGGAAAAAGTGAAAATTCAACTTTTTATATAACAAAATTCCTAAAAAAATATTGAACGTAATGTTCAACCTAAATGTCATCAAAACAAGCACTGCTCGTAAAAACTCATAACCTAAACATTAAGTGGATTGATAATCCTCATATCAATCTCAGTTATTGACTTAAAGATATAATATAATACAATATAGACAGTTTTCTTTTTCTTAAAGTCTGTGTGTAGTAGGTGCACTTGATAGTAACCATTTCTCTAACTATAGAGTTTCGTCATGAAGGTTACTTTTTTTTTTTTTTTTTTTTTTTTCTACAATAGCTATAGAGCAGCCGAATTGCAATTGTCGACTAGAGGTGACAGCGGCCCTATTTTTCCTTTCCCACTTCCCAATTTGTCTCCTTCATAATGTACATCCAAGGATAAACCTTAAATTACAACAAAATTTTAATATAAATATGTACATATAAATATATGAATATGCGTATGTAAACACGCGTATGATACATACGAAAAATTCTTATTGAATTATATGTATATATGTTATATAAAATATAGATGTATTTTAATTATATTAATAATTAAATACAATAGTTTTGGAATGAGCAATCTCATTTTTACTTTTTTAAGTTTTTTAAAATCAATTCTATTATTTATATTTAATAAGTCATCACAAATAGAAATATATGAGTTTCATAATATAATCTACAATCCATCAGCAATAAATAATAGTATAATTAAATAATGGGTTCTATTAAAAAATAAAATAATTTATCTATCAATAAAAATTTATTTTTGATTAATTAGTATTACTGATAGATTGTTGTCATTTTTTTAATGACGCATACACATAATATTACATATATTGAAATATCATACGTATATATATATATAAAATCATGATCTTATTTTCATTAAAAAAATGGAATTTAATTTTAAAAAATATCAATTCTGTCTAATTAACTGTAAAAAGATTCATTTCTTGATTATTTGTTTAATTATTTGTTAATTATATAAAAATGATATAAAAAATAATATATTATTATTAATTATTATTGTTAATTTAAAATAATTTTAAATCTTAATTTTAAACCCACCACCAAAAAATACATCTGAATTTTAACATAACTGACAACCTTTAACGTACATTTCTGATATGCGTATTTACCGGAGGGCCTCCGGGAGGTGGATGGATGATGTATTGGACCTGTTGGCATTGTGTTTGATTCCGGTATAAATGCAGCTACTAGTAATGCACATATCACAAGTAATGCACCAAACACAAATGGTGGTCCTGGTACAAGCTAAAAATATTAATAATAATAATTTTAGATTAAATAATTAATTAAACGACTAATCATCAATAATTAATTATTAATAAATATTTCTTAAAAATTATTTGTTTTGTTAAAATTTACCTGGGTTACTATCTGTGGCATAATATCAAGATGTTGCGTGGCAGTTCCTGTTTTATTATTTTCCTCTAATGGGGATGATTTTGCAGGAAGGGAAGGAGAATTATCGTTGAGATCAACGCGAAAGAGATAAAAGATTACTCCAAACATTGCTGGCCCAAGACCATTACATAATCCACGCATTCCAGTTACCATGCCTTGTACCAAACCCTGCTTGTCTGCATCAGAATGCATGGATATGAATGCAGAAATTGCAGGATATGTAATACTTGATACTGCAGCAAGTACTCCAGCTGCCCACATCATCCTTAAAATTAAAAAAATATTGAACAGAATTCATAAAAATCTTTTTTCATTAAAAATATATTGCAACAAAATATAATATTTTTTTTATATTTTACTTCAAAAATTAAAAGTTTATAAAGTTATAAACATTTATAAACAAGACAAAATATTACCATGTTTGTGAACCGAAGCCAAACCACATAAGTTGTAACATCTCAAATAAAAGACCTAACATTATGGTGTGTTTACTGCCAAGTGTTCTTATTAAAGGACCCAAGACACTTTGAGCTCCGACGCTTAAAATTCCCACCACAGCAATAAAAATTGCTACCATTAAAGCAGTAAATCCCATAACTTTAGTCAAATAGACAAATATACAACTATACTGTCCTGCTTCAGGAAGATAGCTCAGGAACACAGTAATACACAACATTAAAATAGTATGATCTTTGCCAACCTAAAATATCACATTACATGAATAAAATAAAATATCTAAAATATCAATTACATTCAAATTTTTATTTTAATCATCTTATAATTATTATTCTATAAAATTATAATATTATTTATGTAGCATTAATTTAAACATTTTATTTTTTGTTTAAAATAGAATGCAAGAAATTCATATTAATCAAAAGATATTTATTTTTAAATATGATTTCATTAATTTGAAATGATTTTAAATATATAAATTTTTTTTATATATAATATAAAAAATTATTACCTTTCCAAGATAAGCAAAAGGATCTGCCTGCTCCCAAGATATAGGTGCCGGTGGACGAGCTTTTTCAGGCAAACTTTCAGGTACAGCCACTAATATAAAAAACACATCCAACACTGCAATAGCAGTTGCTAATGCAACTACAAGATTCTCTCCATATTCTTTCATAATATAATCTCCTAATGCTGGACTTATTACCATACTTGCAGCAAAAGTTGCTGATACCTAAAAAAATTGAATTTATTTTAAAAAATAGATATTATAAATTATTATTATTATATTACAAATTTTGTAAAAAAATTAATAATGAGATACTAACCATACCATATGCTGGAGATCTTTGATGCTCTTCAGTAACATCAGCAACATATGCAAACACCACTGAAAATGTGCAAGCAAAGACACCACTGATGGAGATCATAGCAAAAAACCACCATGTATTAATACTCATTAGAGGAATCGGCGCACATGTAAAGGCTACTGTGATGAGTAAAAAGAATTTTCGACCCCATACATCAGATAAAGCACCAATTAATGGTGCAGAAAGAAATGATAAGATTCCTTTAATGCCCATTATCAAACCATTCATCAGGAACGTATGATTTGGAAATGTGATATTTAATACAGAGATAACAGGCATGGTTAATAAACCCCATGCAAAAAATTCCAAAAATATTACAACCAGAGCATGGTACACACTTGCCTCTCCAATACCGGAACTCTGTAAAATAAAAATAATAAAACATATAAATTTATTCTTCTTGTATTATTAATATTAAACAGTTCATAAGCAGCCATGATATCTATTTGCTATACCCAGTAAATATGAAATAGTAAAAAGATCATTTTTATACAAATATAATGATATCAGAAGTTTGTTTTTAATTTACCAAAAACTATAAGCATTTTGCAAATTGTGACAGCTGACCTTAAGATGTCTGTAGCATTGCTGAGCAAATGTAAGAGGAGGTGTGAGTTTAGCAATAGCATGTTCTTGGCTGTTGTGAATTTCAGAACAAGAGGGGCCCAGGCCCTCTGCTCCACCTTTTGCCCCAGGGGGCATGACCCCTAAGAAGTGCTACTATATATATTTCTTTCCATATTATGATCCTACCAATTTTTCATTTATCAGTTGTTCAGTTCCATATAATACTGTAATGAATAACCATGACTTAGAATTATCTCAATTTTGCATCTTTAAATATTCAATCTAATTTTCACAAATAATTTATTATTATTTTATATTTCTTTAATTATAACTTTTGTATTAACTCTTATTTAAAACTCTATTTTTGTTATACTATTTTGTGAATGTACTTAATTTACTTTTGCATATATATATTTTTTATTATATCACATTTTGTTTAAGAAACAATCTTTGCATATTCTTATTATTTTTATAATTTTTATGATTACAAATTTATAGATTATATTATTCTCAATTATATACATATGAAATAATTTAATTAATTGCAACAAGCTTCTTTCTTATTTTCATAATATAAACTAATTTCCTTTAATTTCCATAATTTGTGCAATTAACAAAAAGTTAAAAATTATGTTAGGAATACATAGTATGATTTATTTATTATAATTTATTTTTTATTTAATTTATAATTTTATTTATAATTTTACAAATATTTATCATTATAATTTTTACTTTTGCTTAATTTTTGTTTTTTTTTTTTTTTTTGGTGGATTTCTTCCACTAAAACATAAATCTGTTTATTCATAAGCATAAATCTGTTCTTTATTTCTCTTTTTACATTTCTCAGCAATATAAAGACACAAGATCTCTTAAATATATAAAATATTATGCCAAAATTAAAATTGAATAAAATTTATATGTGAACATATATCTTAAAAATATACTTTTTTGTCTGTGTACAGCATTTTTAAAACATTTTGAAATTCTTATCACATTATAATCTATATTTTTTAAGGGCAGCTTGTTTAAAAAGCACTACATTGTTAACAAATTAAAATCCAAAAAAATTTCAAAGATTTCTTTCTTTTTATGTAGTGCCATTTGAACATTTGTCTTCGAACTTTTCTTCTTTTTTAAAAAAAACTGTCATGTTTTTATCACACATGATTCAATTTATTATTTATTATCTAATAAGTAATGCGATAAGATTTTTAAAAAAAGCTATTATTCAGCAGATCATATATAATTTTCTTAACATTAAAAATTGTCATAAGAAATAATCTCTGACATTTAAATTTTCCATAAAACTTGTACATTAAAATGTTAAATTAATATCTATTATAAAATAGTACAATCAGTAATAACCAATATATCGGATAAAATGATTTCTCTCGTATTTGATATTTCTTAATGTCATAACTTATTGTCAACATCTCTTCATTAAGATTCTCGAAAATACATGTTAGCATAATAGTTATATAACTTTTTTACTACTTCACTCTTATTTTTTTCAATGTAATTATCAAAAATTTTGAATAAAAATCTAAATCACTGCATTGCAACTATATCACCAAACCCCACTTTTTACGACATCTAGCTATCGTTCTTTCATCACTTTAGATTGAATCTAACCTAAAAATCTAGTAAAATGAAGTGATATTTTGTGTTCTTGAATATATATAAGTTATATTGGAACAAAAAATTAACCAATTTTAGAAAATGTTACATGATTATAAATTTCTTTCATTATTTTGTATTTAAAAAAAATTATACGAATTACACGTTATTGGCAACTGATCAATATGCGCAAGTATATTCGAAGAACTTTAGATATATAATATTGCTAATATAAAAAAGAAATTATGAATTTAATGTGTTTTTAATAAAACACGAAAATATTTTGGAACAGGATAAAATATATTTATTTTTATAAATGCACGATTTATGTGATTCTTGATAAATCATAATCATATGTTAAATTCCATGTTTTCTATATTTTTAAATGATTATAAATGTAATCTCAAAAATTATTATAAATTAATAATATAAATACTTTTTTACATTCGTAATTAAAACTTATATAAATTTGTAATAAATTATGTTGTTTTTATAAGCATATATATATTTTTTTTTTTCTATTTTGAAATCAAATATTTGTTTCTTTTTTTCTCTCTCTTATTAAATATTTATACTAAATATTGTATTTTTTTTAAATATATTTTTTATAGAATGTTTTAACAAAAACAAGAAAACATCAAAAAATAAAAGAGATACAAATTAAAATATTTTCTATAAAATTTAACATGAAACATACATTATTTTTTTTATATTATAATTTATCAAATTTTTATTTTGATAAATTTTAATTAATCAAAAAAGTAGAAAACAATAAAAAAAGAAGTAATATTTAAATAAAATCAATTTTTTTGTATATTTATAAAATGATTATAAATATTCTTTTAAATAAAAAATATAATATAATTGAAAAAAAATAATAAATATTTTATATTTTAATACATGAAAAACATTTTAAGTCATTTTATAAAATTAAAATGAAATAAAGAAGCTGGTTGCAAGTTTTTGATTAATTATAAAATATTCAGAAATTTGAACAAAAGTTCAAATCATTTAATACTTAACTTCAAATCATTTAATATTTAAATATTAATAAGATTATTATTATATTAATGTCTTGTTCTCCATTTAAAAAGAATCATAAGAAATACAAGATTAAAATAAAAGCATATAAAATTATTATACTTTTAAAAAATTTAATTAAATTTATCTATGAAAAATATGTAAATTATATTTTGTAACAATTCTCTATATAAAAATGAACTTTAAATATATATATGTACGAAAATGAATAAAAACTTAATTGTATATTAATGTTATAATTATTATTATATTAATTATAAAATATCACACAATTTTTGTATTGATGAAAATTTTCATAAACGAGTTGCGCTTTGTAAAACTTTTTAATTCATTGTTATAATTCATTGTCAAAAAAAAAAATAATTGTCGTTAGAATTTATCATGCACCGAGCAAAAAATTGTACTTTAAATATGAAATCAGAAAAAATATATAAAAAAAATGAAAATAACTTAAAAATCTAATAGATATTAACTAAATATTTTAATACCGTAATGACCCCATCCTTAATAATGAATTTTCGGCTTCGTACGATCATGCCCACGACCTTCTTTGAGACCTTGGCGGGCATATTCACGCACTGCGCGCACAGACTCTTCCGTTTTTTCAGTTTCATTAATTTCTAAAAATTCGATGACACTGTGCGAGTCATTTTTCTGTGATATTCTCACACAAGCACAAAAAGCGTTATTAGCTTTAAATCTTTATAGTTGTATCTACATAATGTAACAATTCATAGTTAACCATGTCCGCAGGCTACTACAGACTATCAGGTGAGTGTAATATATTTCATAAAGAATATAGAATAGAAAGTAACCAATGTAGAAATTGCATGCGACGAAAGTGCCACCAAGTAGTAATATGAAGAAACATCATTGATATATCTTTATCTCATTAACAAGTTTTAGTTTCATAATAATTTCATACACATAAAAAAATAAATTTACTTAATACTTGATAAAATGTTTCTTAAAATATGTCTTTATGTCTTAAAAATTATAGAAGTTTAAACTTGAATAATTTTATTCTCTGTAAAAGATTTATTTTAAATATCCATAACTTTATTGTTATGTGCATTACATAATTTTTATATTTTAAAATACATTTTTCCATGCATAAATTATATTTAATTTTATATTTTTAAATATTTTTAATTTTTAAATAATTTTATTTATTTAATTTTTTTATTATATAAAAAATTTTAAGTAAATATGCATGTTGCATTGAATTTTAATTATATAAAGTGATAAAGAAAAATTTTTTACAATGTATAAAATAAATCAGTTATAAAGTAATTTTTTATTTACTAAATAAATTTTAATATATATACGATAAATTAATTAATAAAATATTCGATTAGTATGTTAAGAAATAAAACCTATAAAACAATTTTCAATGAATCACGATTTAATGTTATATGATAACTTATACTGCTTTCTGTGTACACGGCATAAATTTATAACTTGATCACTACCTAACGCATAGCACCGCAAGAGTGCGCATTATTCAGTGAAAAAAAATGGTGGTTATTTGGGTGTAGTCGGGTGATTTTCTGCAACACAAATGTGAGTACCGGCTGACTAAGGAATTACGAGTGCTGTTTGTCAGTGCATCGCAAAGCTAATATGACCGAAACCATATCGGAGGTAATGAAACTATTGATATCCGAACAAATTTCTTATATTTCTATGCGAAACCAGAACTTTAAGTAGGTATTGTTATTCATGCATCTCCGCATGACAAGTACTTGCGGTCTTCCCGATATATTTTATCAGTCAAAAATCTAGGATAAATTCATGACGTTCTTATACAATGAAAAGATTCGTATTTATTTATATATTTAAAAACTATTTGCTGTGGAACAATGTGTAAAATATGCATTGATGCGATATTTTTGGGATAGATGTCACATTATCTTAGTGTCTTGACTATATACGCGTATACGAATGTGTGCATTTATTTGATTTGCGGTATATGTGTGTGGTACTTCCTCTTCACCCCTTAATACGCATGTACTCAGCATGCAGTACAACAGTGTCCGTGAGATACGTATATCACAGTATATACGTAAGACCTACTACTTGCTATATACTGTCAACATTTTTCAAGTGACTGTTCCATGATGCTTCAACATACTGCAATATTAACGAAGTAAATTTTTTGTTCTATATCATATTCATTTTCTTTATTTAAATATTAATAGTTATCACAATAATATTATTGAAAAATTGCGAAATATATTTCGATTTGTTAACAAATAATAACATTTTTTGTACATAACACTTAATATATTTAAAACATTAATTCTGAGATCGGTTGTCTTCACATTTATTGGCAATCAACATAGTCAACATTATGCTATTGATGTTGCTAAATTTATACAATTTGTACAGTCATACAAACATTTGCAAAATAAGAATTATAATGTCATAAGAAGGACCCATATACATGCAATTCTGCCCTCTGTAAAATAGATTAATTCAAGGTTTATTGATAGGATTCTATTTCAATCACAATGTTCTTCTATACTTCTGAGTTTTTTTTTTTTTTTTTTTTTTTTTTTTTTT